GTAAAGAAAGGCACGTATGTAAGCGATAACATTATGTTTAAATTTTCAATTTAGAAATTATTGGTATTTATTTATAACGCTATCACAAAATGGGCTTAGCCTTATTTTGCTATTTTTGTAAAATTTTACTGAAACAATTTATTTTTTAGTTCAATACATATTACCAAAAATACAAGTAGAAATTTTTTGCACGATTTTAGAAAAAACAATTTCAATCAATGAGTAAAATAAATGTAATAAATTTCTAAAAAGCATTTAGTTCTTAGTTTTCTAGGGTGCTATATACATTTTTCCAACCTACCTTACAGATTTACATCCATATCACGGCCTATGCAAATGCAATATCTATTTGAGCGTCGTTTTTTAAGTGTTTCAAAATATTTTCTGTAGCAAAACCTCTTTTTGATTTTTCAATCTTCACATCAGAATTCAGAAAAGGAAAACACGGGGTTGACTATAGTACAACTCAAAACTGCAATGAATGTTAATTTTTTTTTAAAAATAAAGTTTCGTTTTTGTATTTCGACAAATATTAAATCAGAATGTGTCCTTATTTTTGTTATTTGTTCAAAAAAATTGTACAAAAGAATAAGATGTTTTAATTATTTATAGTACTTTTAGCAATTTTAATGCAATGTTCATGAGCTTCTGAAACACCAAACGAGATTGATAGTTTATTGGTTTGAATATCACGCTTAACTTTGCCGTAGATTCTGGCAATGGTGAGAAATCGGTAATAGTATATTATGCAACGAGTTTATTTGACACGAGAGGAGCGAGTGTTTAATAAGCGAGTGACTTAAAAAGTTTACCGAACGTGTTATATAGTGTTCTTATTCTACGACCGTTGATTTTTGGATACATTTTTGAAAAACAATACGAATACATTTACTGACATGGCCGTCAGAATAAACAAACGTCAAAATTCATGACGTGGAAAATATCTCCGAAAACATCCGGTTGCTCCCAAACTCGTGCGGCAAAATCCCGGAAATGTCCGAAGTGGCTCGGATCCGTGGGAAACGAAACTGACGTGACGCTTCCCGCACGCTAGATCGGTGTGTAATTAGGTATTTTACCGACGGGAGTAGAAAAACTTGTATTCCAGAACAAAAATATTTGGTGATTATATAACACATTTTCTCGAATTTCATTTTTCGAAGCTCAAAAATAGTCATAGTCGCGCTTTCTATTGGTTTTCCGGTCCCAGAAGAACCCGGCAGAGGTCTCATTCGAGGCGTCTTTGACGTCCGGTAAGCCCCCCGCGTCGAGCGTGTCGTGTGCAAGCGCAATCAGCCCGCCAGGGGGCGCAGTCAAAGGCACCGCCGCCGGTGCTGCGTAATGCGGCTCGCACTTTAATTTGGTCCTGCTGCAATGCCGGTAATCATTACGGACCATGACTGTGGGGTTGACGCCGATACTTCGCATATGGTTCGCGTTTTAAGTCAAAAATACGACTCGCTCAAATCACATTTGGACAACTACGGTATATCTTATCTTACAAGAAAATTATTTACATTTTACTAGTATATGAAATATCCTGAGGACTAAATAAAAACAAATGCTATATTTATATCCAATAACTCGTGCTTTAATATAAATAAAAAAAACATTTTACATTTTGAACCCACAGTTTATTAACGAACAAATATTTTATTAGTTGTTTATTGAACAAAATTATATCAAAAAAGTCTCTATACATGTTAATTATTAAAACGAATTTAATATATTCTGGCATAACCGTTATAGCTCTAAGATTATTAGCCGAAGTACGAACGAGTTTTTTGTTTCTTCTGTTTTTTTCTGTAACCCGGATCTTAAAGTTTCCCCGCATGTTTTGGAGCATTATATTGATCAAACATTGATCAAAATATCCTGCACCAGATGCTGATATGCTAAATAAGGAAAGACATTGCCACCACCATGCTTTATCGTTGGACACAGATGCTCAAGTTTAAATGTTGTTTTCGTTTTTCTCCACATTCTCCTTCGCCTATTAGATCCAAAATATTATGTTGTGAATATCACATTTTTGCAAAACTCTATATGTTTTGTAACATATGCTTTTGCAAAATTCAGTTGTTTCTTGCGGATTTATTCCGAAATTAAAGCTTTTCTTCTTGCTGTTCGTCATGTTTTAGTGTCGTGGATAACTGATACGCACTTAACGTCGGGTTATTCGATATTTTCCTAACTGGATGCTTCTCCATGAACAGTCAACTTTGTTGGACGACTTTATTTTGCATGAACTGGTAGTCCTAATTTGCCGTACTGTACGCCTATAACAATTTTTATAATTTTTGATAAAATGGCGGACCGATAAATATACTACTTGATAAATGGTTAGGTGCAGTACTATTAAAATAATTATATAGTGTATGGAGATTTTTTTATACATTTTTGTTCAATAATTAACTAACAATATGTATACACACAACAATATTAAAGTATATTATGTGTATCAAAAAATATTTAGTGTATGGAGACTTTTTTTATGTTTGTTTCTGTCTATAATACTTTGTGTGTCACATATTACATTATTGGGTAATACGATTTCCATCCATATATTAGTATTAAAAAATTAGTAAACTAAATTTCGAAGGATGAGCAAATCTCAAAAACAAATGAAAATAGAAAAACTACATTTTAATTTTATTTGACAAAATGATTTCTAAGCTAAATATGCATATACCGGTCTAGCCCAATAAATACGAAAATAAATCCACTTGAAAAAGGCAAGGCAACTTCGTTTGTTGTGTTGTTCAACTAAGCTTAATATCAGGGAAGTGAGCACAAAATTTCTAATAAAATAATCACTGTTGCGTATGATAACCAACATCTATCGACAATATCCAATCGCTCGCAAACCCGTGTCTAAAATATAGTCCAACACACGATAAATGGCCATGATCGTAATAATGATATTAATGTTTGAAATCAAACCCGTCCAGGGTTCGAATAAACATAATTGTAATTATATTAGCAATAAGTACATATTAAATAAAATTAGTCGCCAGAATAGTTTGAATCTGTGCTATTACTATTATCCGAAGATATAATTCATGCTTTTACGTTGTTCCATATTTTTTATAATTATTTTTCACTTTAAGTATTTAAGTAACACATTATCTCCAACTACTCTTTGATATTAATTCGCACATGATTTTAATTCATCAATTACACGGCGGACATTGTTGGGTTTATATTATTGCATCTAACTTCGTGTGTTAATTCAGCCTATATCATTGCTTTAGAACTAAAAACGCAGTGATATCGTAGTAATGTAAGAGTTATATTGCCGGATTTTTTTATGACCTCGTGTAGGAAATAAGTTTGATCATACGATTTGATTCTTTTTCAACTTGTATAAGTATATTCAAAATAAAGGTCATGCTTGCAATGCCTCTTTTTTAGTGCCGATCGTTGGTACTTTTTTTGCTAAAATCCTGTGATAACTAGCATTATCATAAAGTAATAATCTGCCTGGTGGAATTCTGTGCCCATTTTTCAATAAGTTCAGGTGTCATGTCCTGTTGGTAGTCTAATGAGCAGTCTTTAATGTTGTTAATATATATTTGGATTTTCTCAATTCCACCAATCGTTATGCAAATGTGAGAAGTACTGCGCATTTCTAAGGTATTTTAGAGGAGGGAGAAGAAAAAAATTTTTTCCAATTGTCGTCCCTCGCTAAAAATGGGTTTATAGCCAGTATTGCCTAAATCCAGGAAGTTAAAATGTAAATAAAGGGTTGTACGAGTACTATCAATAAAATTAAAATTGTAATTTTATCGGTGCCAGGGGGAGATAACCGTGAATTCCGTTACTTGCAACGTACCTCGAATAATTTGTTTTATTTACTTTTCTTTGTGTTATATTTTATTTAACTGAATTACAATTTGTATCGAAGTAGAGTTCTTTCAATATCGGGGTAACTCGGGCCATCCGGATAATTTTCGCGATAAATTTTAGACATTTTTCCTAATGAACGTATAATTTTTTCTGAAAATTAACTGTGACAAGGTACTCTTACTAACCAAGAAAAGTCCAGTTTTAAGTAGCGTTTCAAATAAATATTAAAGACCGCGTTCAAGAATTTGGAAACTGGGGAACAGCAAAAGAGGAATGGCTATAATTATTGCATTTAAAAATGATAAAAAAATATTTACCCAGTGTTCTACGAAATATTTTTTCTAATTCGATATACATTAAATAAAATTATTGGCTATTAAGAGAAGATCAACTCAAAACTAAGCAACCATACATCTACAAATACTGAGCTTGTATGATATAGGAAAAATACATCATATCACATCAATATTAAACAATCATACAAAGAAACTTTTAGGACATAGGGAAAAACTTACTATTACTACAATCATCTTGTAAAATGATCTATTTTCCAGTTGCTTTAATTCTTTGGTATTGAAACATATTCAATACAATCTCATCACTAATTGCCGTAGTTTCTTTATTCAGAGAGGAAAAATTTCTGACACAAAAAATATAACATTGTTCCAAATTCAATAGGAAAAATGTGAGCAGTGTTTAACAACAATCAAATAAGTTTCTTTTTTTATAGGGCAATTATTTTCAATTTCGATTTAACAAGTCAACAGGTATGTTAGCATATTTCAGAAATTCTTTTGAATCCTTCCAATATGGATAGAGTACAACGGTGGCAAACAAAAGTTAACTGTGTGCAAATTCAAATTATTAAGTCAGCTAATTTGTTAAATTCTACATGGTCTCCAAAGGTCTATTTTTCATCACCCTGCCGCGCATTAGCACGCCATGGTATAGACAAATTTTGCAGGGCAACTTCTTTTAGAAAAAAAAAGTTTTAAAACATTTTGATGCATTTATGAAAAAACTGTTTTTCCTGAGGTCGTCTTGAGGTTTTTCTATTATGAATCTCGAGTAAACTATAAACAGAAAGCAAAAAAAAGAAAACATTCACTGCTTCGTAGCTATTATCTGCAATTGATATTTATTTATTACAGAGTTCTCAGCGACAACGACAAGAAGCCGTTCATCGAGGAGGCGGAACGACTTCGCGTCAACCACAAACGAGAATACCCGGACTACAAATACCAACCGCGTCGAAGAAAACAGAACAAAGCCGCCGACTCGATTCACCAGCTGCCCCACGGCCAAAACGTAACATTTTCCAGGACTCTGAAGCAAGAAGATTCACCCTGCAGCCCCAGGAGTCACAGCTCGGCATCGCCGTCGACGTGTTCTTCGCAACCGAATAGTCCGCAGCTTTCCTCGCAACTATTGAAGAGCGGCGAACAGCACCCTATAGACCTGGACTGCCATAGAATACCCGAACTAGATGGAAGCTACGCGCTTTACGGCCCTGAGGACGCTCTCGATTGTAGCGACCTTGATCAGTACCTACCTTCCGATTCAGGGTACCACTCGTACCCTGCATATTCGAAGCACGGCCAGCAAGAACAAGAGAGCAACAACAATTACAAGTCCAAAATGGTGTCGTCGTCTCAGGATGCATTCGAAGACGGCTCCTTCGGCAGGTATCACGAGTTGCAACCGAGCGCTGTCAAATCAGAAAGATATGGGCATACCAACTCTTCCGGATTGTACACCTACCAACCCAGTATTCAAAACTCCGCGTACTATTCGAACAACAGCCAGTATTTGCCCTCGTATCAGTATATGCAGCAGAGATCGATGTTCAATGGAGCTTCTTCTGCTGGTAACTTTAGCGCCGTCGAAGGCAGTGCTGACACGTGGGGCCCTTACGCGATGTGAACGTGCGCGGTCACTTTATCTTGTAAATATGTTTGGTTTTGCATTAAGACCTTGTAGGTATTACCTTCGCCCGATCTTGTGATATCGTCCAAGCCATAGAGATGCGCGTACGGATTGATTTTTTTGTTGTTAATGCCAAGAACATTGTTTTTATTTCGCAGAATTTTACCTTTTTTCATCCCATGATCTATCGCTTTAAGCCCCATATTTAAGTACGAATTAGTATTACAGACATTTCGGTTACGAAGACTTGATACCGTTTTAAATGACGTCACTTGTTGAGTTGTAGATCTGATACGTTTAGTTTTTTTTTGTAGTAACACGGAACTTTTTTATATCAATAAATATTTTTTTATATCATAGGTGATTAATTATTTATTTTTGATCGTACACGTACAATACAACCCACCGTAACGACGAATTGTGTCTACAATATCCTTATACATAGATTCTAGAGTTCCAAATAAAGTTGCTTTTAATTAAATTTGTCGCCAACCGTCAGCTACGACTCATGAGAGTTATCATTTGGCTTTAAACCCAGGTCAGTGTTGCAACGTCGAAATATATTTATCATTGATGTTATAACTTCAGCGTGTGTCATATCTTAGCGTCTCTCTAGCGTGAAGTTAAAGACGTTACCAAAGATATTTCGGATATGTTTCTGGAGCGAAATTTTGTGCGATATATTCCCCTCTACCTCTGAGAACACCTAGGACGTTCCCAAGGTTAGCTATCTGTCCTATCAGTTTCATAGGCTACTAGATTGTTATCAACTACGCTTTTGGAACTGTCAAAGCTTAGTTACTCCACCTGGTTTTGTGAAGCTATAACAGTGGGCAAGTTTAATTCATCGATTGATTGTTTGGTTAATTTGCGCGAATAAGGTAATAGTATATTATGCAACAAGTGCGGTAAACGGCATTTGACTGGCGAGTTTATTTGACACGAGCCCGTATACACAAATTTTTGTGTATACGGGTTTTTTCGAAGACCAGTTTTTATTATCTATGACTAAGTAGTCAAATTTCATCTTTCTAAATGCTGTTAGGTATAGGAAAATATTTTACAAACAAAATGAAACAATAACAAAAATCAATGTCGTCTCTACTTTTTGATCCCAGGGGCAACTGCAACAATGAAGAGTCAAAAACCTATTTGACCAAATTTTTAGCAAATTGCTAAGTACATCAACACCTTTATATATATATATATATATATATATATATATATATATATATATATATATATATATATATATATATATATATATATATATATATATATATATATATATATATATATATATATATATATATATATATATATATATATATATATATATATATATATATATATATATATATATATATATATATATATATATGATGACACTATATTCCGGGATATCATCCGTTCGCTCGTTGAACTCCGACTGGAATCCTGCAGACGTTTCGCCAAAATCTCACTTGGCATCTTCAATGCTCGCGCTCCGAAAACACTTCGAAGTATTTTCGGAGCGCGAGCATTGAAGATGCCAAGTGAGATTTTGGCGAAACGTCTGCAGGATTCCAGTCGGAGTTCAACGAGCGAACGGATGATATCCCGGAATATAGTGTCATCACATTTTTCCATCCGTGAATCAATACGTGAATATATATATATATATATATATATATATATATATATATATATATATATATATATATATATATATATATATATATATATATATATATATATATATATATATATATATATATATATATATATATATATATATATATATATATATGATGACACTACATTCCGGGATATCATCCGTTCGCTCGTCGCCAAAATCTCACTTGGCATCTTCAATGCTCGCGCTCCGAAAACACTTCGAGTGTTCGAAGTGTTTTCGGAGCGCGAGCATTGAAGATGCCAAGTAAGATTTTGGCGAAACGTCTGCAGGATTCCAGTCGGAGTTCAACGAGCGAACGGATGATATTCCGGAATGTAGTGTCATCACATTTTTCCATCCGTGAATCAATACGTGAGAATATATATATACATATATATATATATATATATATATATATATATATATATATATATATATATATATATATATATATATATATATATATATATATATATATATATATATATATATATATATATATATATATATGTATGTATATAAAACTAATATTTTAGCATTGAGATTTCCCCATTTTTATGTTCTTCTTCTGTGCTGCTTTTGCCACACTTCAACATCGCAAAGAAATATGCATGGGTTAATGAGCAATATAATATACGTATGTATGCCTACGTATTCTCCATTTTAAATTTACTGGGTTTTTCGATTTAAATTACAAAGTTGATGCAAATAATGTCGCTTATCGGTGTGTATATATTTCTCCCCATTTGTTGATTTAATAATTATTATCGCTTGGGAGATACAATCGAGAAATAATCCCATAGGATATTTGCGATGTAACCGCCAGAATGAAAAAATAAATAAATAAATTTCAAAATTTTCTTATATTTTTCAGTTCACCTTTTATTATTATTGACATTTTTGTTACGGAGAATATCAATATTATGCTCATAGATGGAGATAATGAGACCGTTAGATTGTGATGTTGAAAAGTATTACTGATCTCATCTAAGATACTTCATATACTAAAGTACTATCGTTTCTGATATATTTTAAATTTGATCAAAAATTAATGTCAAAAATTTAAATGAAATATTCTTTAACACTCTTTTTTTTCAAATATAAGTTTTATCGCATTTACCATTTTAGGATAAGGTGACTTTGTATTTTAAAAAGTCGTAGATTTGGAAATATTAGCAATAAAAGGTTTTTCCATTATATAAATCTGAATCGAGCACTACAGGATCGCCACTATTTTAGCTTGCTGTGAGTAATTTTAATTATTATTGTTAAATTAATACAAAAAAAAGATCTTTCTAAAAAAACTAAAGAATGGAGCAAAAACTAATTGTAAATAAAACAACTTATAAAGATAATTTACTTGCAAAATTTAAAAAAAAATACCTGTCCAAAAAGTGCAGAAACGGTAAAATATCTTAAAAATTACACAGTTGATCAAGAAACAAAAAAAATGCATTTTAATATTGAATAAAAAACTATTCAATTACACCATGCACTCAGCGGTGGTGGGGAAGAACCAACGTTGAAGTCTTAAAAGGAAACCCCCATTTCTTATTACAGGTCCGGACTCTAGCTCAGGGTTTCGCCCAGCGCTTACATTTCAAAATCTACAATATTCAAATTGAAAGTTAGTGTTTAATCACCCTTTGTTTATCTATTTTTAAAAAAATGAAAATTAAAATAGATCCCTTTCTGTAAAGAAATCAATTCCAAATATAATAACAAAGGCTCTTCGGTTTGATAAATTGATAAATATATTAATTATAAAGTGTACAACCGTTTAAAAAAACATTTGATATGACAGGTATGGATTTTTGAAAACAACCCCTAATTATTGTTAATCCCTTTCGGGTGTCGAGCAGTTTCGCTTCGATATTCCAAATATTTTTCATAACGCCGCTATGGCGCACGGAACGTGCGTGACATTATCCAAATCGGCCTATTGTTACGTTTCAATATGTTTTCGCCTTTCGGAGCGACAACAACGCGTCATCGCTCGATGACAACAGGAAAAATCGAAAAGGTCCGTATCGAATCGCGGCGATGGTTTTTTAACCCGACGTCAATTACTCCTCGAACGAAACGTAGATTTTAATTTGTGAAAGTCATCGATGAGCATTTCCAATAACCAATACAGGAGGTCAGTGGCGTCGTCGCGGTGCCTTTCCGTTCCGGTCGTGCAGTTATTTATAATTCGCCAACGTTTAGGTTTTATTTGCGACGCATGTTCGCGCAGCCCGTTTGCGTTTTGACGATAAAAAATGTCACCCGCGACTGATAGAATACCGCTCGGCTGCGACACTCGCGAAGGGACGTCACTGGGACTTGCCGAGATCGGGTCGTGTCGGGCCCACACACTTGACCCTCTGTCTGTGGCAGGTCGGCTTTCTGTCACTTCGTCAAGTATCATTACTTCTTTTAAAGGCGAATAGTTGGTCAATAGGTTGATTAGCGCTTGTTGGGTATTCGAAAATTGCATTTTTGACGTTGAAGTTTGCTTCATTTTTTTTTATCTTAAGGGAACTCGACAAAAATTTAAACAAGAAAAATTGCCAGCGATCATAACAGTGTATACAGTTCAATGGTCAATGGTCAAATTTCTTGTTGACGAGTTGATTTTAGGTAATGGGGTAGTTAAAAATTTTTGTTGTTTCTTTAATTCATTTGTTTGTGTCTAGAAATAGCGTATAACAAATATCAACACTCAAAACCCAATATTGAAGTTGCACTAAATAATTGAAGTTGTGACAGTCAGCTATTCCTTTTAAACGACGCTAAACGCTCGGGAATGATCGTGACGTCATACCGCTGCTTTTCGATCGATACGGCTGCAAGTTATATTGTTATTCTCAGGTTATAAGCAGGTTATACATTTATCTTTGCAAGCAACACAAAAAAACGAATCGAGGCATCGTGTTGAGTACATTTAGTCGTCTACAATAAAATAAAGCCGTCGTTTTTTGGTAACATTATGTTCAGGTGTCACTTTAGCCTAAGCCGTGCAGGTTTCCACTAAATTAAAAAAAATCCTTTTTTTAAGACTAATTTACATTTTATTTGATATACCATTTGTTTGTTAAAAACCAAAAAACTGTTGACACACTATTATTATATTGGTTTAAAATTAATGACTACATTTTCTATGAACATACCTTTTAGTTTTAACACCGCAAACCTCAGCAAATGAAAAACTTTCGGTGTTTTGTATGTAAGATGTCAACATAATATTCACTAAAGGTCAACTATCAGATTGACCTTTTAAAAAATCGGCTTCGGTTATTTTCAAAACATTCTTTTGACACCAAAAACAAGATCACAAGAGATAAACTAACCAAAACGAACGAGTTGTCGTTCCCTATGCTACCGTTCGGCTACTGGTTGGCGCGTGGTGTAACGAGCGAATTGACGTCACAACCGATAACAGCCAATGACAGCGGGTTTCAAAGCGGATTTAAATTTTACACTTTTTAATTGCTTATATTTGTTACATAGAACTGCGACTTTTTTTGTGATCTGTGGTTCTTTTAATAGTATATATATATATACGATATTTTTCAAATTAAAATTTCATTCAAGTTTCCTATTGTCTAAGTTTTTTTAAATGTTGCAGGTGTTAAAATAATATATAATGCAACAAGTGCGGTAAACGGCATTTGACT